CTAATTTGGCTCTTCACAGTGAATTAAATTTCCATTTCCCTGTATACCTTGTTTCAAATTGGAGAAATGAAGGTATTTAAATAATTGCAATTTCATTGTCTTGAGATGCGTCAGAACCTAGACTCACCACATGTCAATTATTGCTTTGTTCTTAAGGACAATATGGAGGTTCAATTTAGTAAGACAGTCAAAATGCTTGGCTTAGAATAAATGGAAGAAAACCATAGAAAATGAATGAAGAAAATAACATATAGAGAGTTTGCAGTTTCAATTGTAGATCTCAATGGGTACATGTGGCATAAATTTCTCTGTGATTACATTTCTACTGAACTGCTACATAGAGTTAAAGATAGAGCTTAGCAGAGGAAATTGTGCGTTGTGTGCGTGTGTGTTTTTCCCCTTTGAGATTCAGAGGCCTTTAAGAGAATATTTTTTATAAAATCACCAATGTGTTAATGAGCAATGACCTAAATTTTATGTCCCTGGTAATTGACACACATGGGATTTATTTTATGAAATAAAGCACTGAACTCTGCATAAAATAGGTGGTAATCAAACATTAAACCATTGGTGTTAAACCCGCAGCCTAAGGCATAAATATTTAGCTTCTTGTATTTGAATTGCATAAAGTCTTGTGTGTAGCAAAATCTTGTCAAATGTTAGATTCTCCTTAAGTATATATTGTTTGTACCACTCATTTGCCAAGTAATCATTGGTGGCCATATGTCCTTGTATATGAAGTTTTCTTCTGTTGTATTGAGGCAGTGTAGTATTGTGGTTGATGTGTGCAAATTCAGAAACTTGAGCACACTTTATGCCTCATTTACCTTATTTATAAAATAGATTTAATAATAGCACAGTCTTGGTTACTTTCTCATTGCTGGGAGAAAGTAACCAATACTCGCAGGGGGTTTACTTCAGCTCATAGTTTGTACATGTTTCAGTCCATGGTCAGCAGGCTTCAAGGCAGGATGTCATGACATTACAAAGAAGAAACAGTCCTTGGCATGGCTAACAGGGAGCAGAGCCATTAAGGGAGTAGGAGGGATATATTTATACACCTTTCCAGATCACACACACACAGTGACCTATCAGGTTTTAATCCCCAACATCAGTTATAAACTCATCAGTAGACTAATCTAACATCACACACCCATGATCCAGTATCATATACCACACTCCATTCACTTCCCCAACTCCCCTCCATGAGCTCTGGGGGGACATCTAGATATATCATAACAAGCACTTAACCTTGTAAGGTTTGTGTGTCAATTAAATAACAACACATGTAAAATTTGTGCAACAGTAGCTGATACATATGTGTGTTAATGATTTAAATTATTACTTTATGTAGAAAATCCTATAGTTTGTTCCTTTAAGTAGTTTGTGATTTCCTTGACTGTAGAAATTGTGCCTTATTTTACTTAGTATTCTTTATAGTTTCTGAAATAATAGTTAAAACATATTTATAGATATGTATATATAGCATGCACACAAATTTATATGTAACATGTAATATGCATATGTATAATATTATTTAAAATTGTACACAGTACATTGAACACATATATTTAATTTGTCACCTACATAAGAAGTTTGTCATTGAATATAAACTCCCATTTGAGAGGAATGTGACAAATTTAGTTTAAACTTTCCTGGATTATTATTTGACTTCATGGCATGTTAACACTCCAGTCTAACATAATATAGATAAACTCCAGGGTTCTTTAAATTATACTAGTGCCTGCTTATTTGGAGAATAAAAGAATGTTGTAATTTGTACATGGTCCAATAAGATTTTGTTCATACACTGCATAAACATTTTAAAAGTTTGAACAAAAATGGCCTCTACTGTCTTTTTTGAGCACCTGTTCTCACAGAGAAGACCTCAGTATATAGTGATGTATCATTTTTCTGAATAAAGTTACCTGCAGTAACCAAGGGTAACTTTTATTTTCTTAGGACTGAATATAGCTGGGATTAATGTGTCAGATACAAAAGGACATAAAGCAGGTTTGATAAACATAACTGTGCATATGTCTCAGGAATACTCTGTAGCATGATTCAACCTTCTAACTCCAGTTTTCTTTGGGGATAATGTTTGAGCTCTTCTCTAATCTAACTACATTTTGTCAATGTGAGTTGGATTGCAAACTGTTGTGTTTGGGATTTAGCCAGTGGGATCAAGAGCACATCATGGAATTATGAAAATGCGACAATCTATATGCAAGAATGTAAATGTCCAATTAGGTAACACATATCCACTTAAAAAATTTCAGAAGAAAAATTTCATTCCTTTACCTCCACCCTTTTCTTCCTTTTATCGATTCCTTCCCTTCCAAGTTCCTTTCCTGATTAAAAATTTAAATAATTGTTTAATTTGTATTTGGGTTTCATTGGATTACCATCACTGGAAAGGACCTCAGAAATCATCCAGTTAATTACTTCATATCAACAAGAGACTCAGAGAAGCAGAACATCTTGTTCATGATCTTGCTTTTAGTTTGTCTCAGAATAAAGTTGAGAAGTTTCACCTTTGTGTGTGTGTGTGTGTGTTCCTTGTTGCTCATTTTCATAGCAAGTGGTCCATAGAATCAATTCAACTTCACATAACTTTCAGAGAACATTGAACTGGTTTGTATGGTGTATTTTCTTCTTGGTTTCTGTTCTTATCTCTGGTGCCATGAAGATCAGTGAGCCTGCATGTTTGCATTTTCCTGGTTTATGCCTAACTCGCTCTCAGACCTGCACTGTGGACTTGGGAGAGTAATCCTGACTACCTGCTGGCCCTGTTCCATGGACTAAGAACTGTCAGGGCTGCAGGCCCTAAGAGTGATCTCTTAGTCACTTAGAGTATGGTTTCAGAGGAAGCAAATAATAAAAGCCAAGACAAAAACAGTGATCTTAAGTATATATGTTCACTTGCTGCTGCCACTTTCAATGCCAGTCTTTTGACTCTAAATGCTATTTCTAATGTTCGTGCTTTATTATGGTTTACATCCGGATGTTCCCCGACAGCCCCATGAGCTCATAGGTAGGGCTTTTGAAGGTGAACGGAGTATACAGGCTTATAGGTGATTCCATTAGGAGATGAGGTCTGGAAATCAGAGGTGGGTTACTGTGTTTATGGCCTGGAAAGGTTCTTACTGTCTCCCTTCCTTCATGTTCTGCTCCCTTCTTGTCATGCCTCGAGCATGAGCTTCTTCTCCTCCGCCAGGCCCCTCTGCATGGCACCCTGACTTAGAGCCACCAGACTGTGGACTGAAACCTCTACAAACTGAGAGCCAAAATCAACATTTCCTCCTTTATTTTGGAGGTGTTGGTTGGGTTTTGTGTCTCAGCCAGAAGGTAAGGACTGAGACACCACAAGCATACCAAGTGGGTGATAGTACCCGAGTGAGCAAAATGAAGTTAACACATTATTTACCCACCACATGTGCGTGGAATGTGACTCACATACACTGCTGCGTCCTCAAGGGAGAACCCAGAATGTTGGCATTTTGAATCTTGCCTCTTTCCTGGCAAAATTCAGTCTCTCTCCATGATACTTTCCTGAACAGTATGTCAAAACTTCTTCCCCTTCTTGAACTCTTTCAGAGCTCTTCATAAACTATGTCAGCTAGACAGCATCACTTTCTAAACTTAAAAAAAATGTACATATCATGTATATATTTGTGGGGTGCAGTGTCATGCTTTAATTTACTGATTTAATTTAGTGATTGAATCAGAGTAATTACAATTTTTTAAAACAAGAACATATGCTTTATTAAGAACTAATCTTCTTCATATTTTTTATGATGGGGTAGCACGTAGCGTGAAAATGTGGGGATGTGGGGTCCTAAATGCTCAGGGGGTCCGTCAGGATGGACCCTTTTACCTCTAAGGCATCGACTTCTGTGTGGAGCCCGATGAGGGCAGCTCTTGGTGGCCTGCTCAGGGCTCCATCTCCTGCGTCCCATGGAAAGGTCTCTCTGGTGCAGCCAGCGGAAGGCCCGCCCCACGAGCTGACTCGTGGTGCTTGGTGGTCTGGGGGCGTCGTCCTCCAGGTGTGCTGAGGAGGTGGAGGGCTCTGTGGTGCCTGACTTGTGGCTGCTGCTCACCTCACCTGCCCTCTCAGCACGTTCCTGTCCCTTCGGTGTCGCAGGAAGCTCTGGGAATGAGCCTACATCTGTGTTTCCTGATGGTTTGCCCATGGGCGATTCTAGACACACCTCATGTTCCTGATGACTGAGCTGGGCAGGGAAACAGCTGCTTGGCCTGAGGTCTTCAACCATAGTAAGTTCGAGGAAATCGCAGTCCTCATCTTTCTTCTTTCTCTGAAGTTTTTCGTGAGTTTTATTGTCATCTTTTTGTAAGTCTGTTTCTTTCTTTCTTGCTTTCTTTTTTTTTTTTTTTTTTTTTTTTTTTTGTACCGGGGACTGAACTTGGGTCCTTGCGCTTGCAAGGCAGGCCACTGAACCGCTGAGCTAAATCCCCGGCCTATTGTCATCCTTTTGGATTTCTTCATCATTCAAATCAAAACTGAAATGTAGGTTGGGCCATCTTTTTTTCCCTTTAGGCCCCCGCCTGCCTTGGACAGGACAGATGAGGTCACCTGAAGAACACAGTGGGAGTCTTGTCTTCAAGGAGGATGATGTCCTCGCTGGATGAGAGCTCTTCACAGGGGAGACAGTCCCCAGGGAGTTTCAGTGTGGATTTGTTTTCGCAATTGCAGTCCTCTGCGTCAGAGGGGTCACTGCTAGGGGGATGAGGATGTCATGGGGTTGAAGAGCCAACGTGAGAGTCTCCGTCAACACCGGAAGCTTCCACAGAGGGGGAAATGGGAGATATTGGGGAAAAAATTCACTGCCAACTCCTGGAGCACAAACAGGATATATGTGAGAGTCTTCAGCACTCAAGTGTCAGTGGCTCACGGTGAGCTAGGTCATAATCCATCTTCTATGACTGCTGGTTACCATGGTGATATTCAAACCAGTATAGTCAGTAGGAATAGAGAGAAAGGGGAGAGGAAACCACAGGATCGATCCCGTTCCTCTGAAACATCGTGACCACACACCATGCAGGCTGAAGGATCCCTTTTGAGGCCAGAAGGATCAACGCCCCAGGGTGGGGGGTTCCTTTCCTCTTGTCTTGGGGCACTGAGATCCTTCCTGTCCTCAAGGCGCAGAGACCTTCTTTTGGGGAGAGCTGAATATACACCCTGGTCTAAGTCAGGGTGATAAGTGCAACACAAGAGGTGAAAACTCAGCCCTGAGAGGATAAAGGAGGGCACCTTATGCAGCTGAATGAGTAATTACAATTTCTATCTTGTTATGATTTCTTTATATTTTGAGGTTTCAAATTCTCTCTTCTAACTCTTCTCAAATATATATCAAGTACAGTAAAATACAGTTACCCTACTATGATATTGGGACTTATTCCAGCTAACAAAGTTTTTTAAAATCAGTTTTCTTTTTATTTCCCTATCCTCTACCTTACGTAGCCTTTATTTTTAAAAAAATTTTTTCATATTTTTTTCTTTTTATTGAGTTTATTGGTACAATCTAAGTATACGATACAGTTGCATTCATTATTGGGATCCTGTACCTTTACATAATAGGACTTGATTCTCATTTTTTCCCCTTGTCCCTGCCCTCCCTTCATCCCCTCCTCCCCTCCCCATTTACAAACACTTTATTTCCATTTTTTCAATTTCTCATATTTTTTCCCTCTCCCTTATTACCTTTCCCCCACCCTTCCCACTTTCCCTACACCTTTAGCCCTTTACTTCCTATTTCACATTATTAATTATCTCATTAGGATCCTGTGTACTATTACAGTTTTTCACATCAGAGAAACTATTCGGTATTTCAGTTAAAGAAATCTCTGTATGAACATTAAAAATAGGGAATCCTAAAATAAAACTAAAAAGGAAAGTAAAAGAGAAAAGGCAATGATGTAACATCAAAATAATCCTTAATTCTGGAGATGAAAATGGTCCCTGAACATATTTAAGTTGCTTCTTGCTCTTATAGTCTTATCCTATTCTTTTTTTCATCATCTAGAGAATACTTTATTAGTTTCTGTAATCAAACCCACATAGATATGACCTTACATATTTAATACAGTGTGTTACCTGTACAACT